AAATTGAAGCTGTCCTTCAATTCTGGTTACCTACAGAGTTATATGCAATTGTGGAATGTTTTGAGGGTGATGAAAGGTACTAGAATAATATTTACATTTTTCTCCACAAATTAAATACAGTCAAATCAAAAAGTGATGAAAAGTCATTTAATTTATGTAACTGTACATTGAATGAAAGTGTGAGGTCAAATAGATCTGTGCGGGTGTGAAATACACCCTCCCTTCTTCTCCACTTCCTTTGAAACAGATGTTTCAACAGGTTCATACCAGTTTGAGGAGATAGCATTGTGTGATTTTGTATGAAGTGGTTACCAATGTTGCGCTCAGGAAGATATCCATAAAGCATTAACTCTCTTGAATCTTTCCCTTCAAACTTCTCATCAGTCATCAATACACTCTTTCCCTACTGCTCTAAAATCTTGGTTATTCTAAAGCTCTATATAAATTAGTTCTAGCTACAAAAATATTTTTTGGTGAGTACTTTTTGATGCTTCTTATTATGTTTCTCTTTGTTTCTATTGCTCTACTATACACCACTTGGAATTGTTAGCCAGTCATTATAGATGAAATTCTCTTAGAACCATATTATCACCAATCTATATCTGCTATTCCAAAAAGATGATAGGTTTCCATCAATACCCCCTATATTTTCTTATCTACAACAGTCCTTCTCATTATTTTATTCCTATTCTAATATTTTGGTCAGAGGCTTTTAGAGACTATCAACATTTGGTGCTGACATTTCTATATATTTATGTAACAGCCTGGCCAAGATGAGATTTCAACAGATCTTCTTAACCATCAATATGTTGATGGATCACACTACTTCTAGTCCTATCCTACGTCAACTTGATATGGCCACCTCCACCAAACCAAGTGAATTGGCTAGCCCAAACGGGTTTGGATCCAGTGGTGTGGTCTACCCAGATGCTATTCAACAATACAATCAGCGCCAAGAAGATGCAGCCCAAATGGAAGCAATGGCAAGACAGTTTGGTCCTCCAGACTATCTAATTCCTCACAGAAAAATTCAGGACTATGGTGATTCTGGAGATTCTAGTGTAAGGGAACCTCCATCACTGACTCCAAAATAAATTGAGGGAATTACTAACAACACCAATCTGTGGTTCAAGTCAGATGGTGTAAACGCGGTATGGCCAATTATTGGGGCACTCGGAGGTGCTTGCTTCCTGATTATTTGTGGTATATGCTACCGGAAGCATGTGAGTGGGGATGGAGGACAGTGAAGATGGAGCTTAATCTGGTGATGAAGTGTATGAGCCCCCACTTCAATTTACCCTCACAAATATCTTTACTAAACTTTGTTTCAATTATGCTTTGTTGTGATATTGGACTTGCATGTTGGTATTCAGCATTGAATCAACCCTCATCAAGAACACAACATCTGCAGTGGATATGTTGAAAATGAATCTATGAAACCAACTATAAATCAAGATGAGAATAGTGAAGGAGAAGTTGATGAGAATTTCCAAAATGGGTTCATGTTTGTTTGCTTTGGGAATAAGTCGTATGTGGCCCTTGCATGCAATCTTCATCTTTTTCTTTGTGTGTTGCAGTTTTTGGTTGTTTGGCTAAACATATACATACGCATGTAGTGCCTGTTTTCCATCACAAAATCTGTTCCCTTAAGCTGTTGCTATTTGCAGCCTGCAAAAAAACCATGTAGGTGCTGCCAAAACAGCGCTTACATGGGTGTTTCCCACCAAAGAGCACCTACATTGAGGATGTAGGCGCTCAAAAATGACGCCTATATCTCAACATTCAAGTGTAGGTGTCTTTTTCATATATTGTAAGACATAAAAAGAGCTTTCAAGTTGAAAAGAGTGTATTGGAAGACATAAAAAGCAGTTTGGAGCTGAAATGAGCATACCAGAAGATGTAAAAGCAGTTTGGAGTTGAAAGGAGCGTACCAGAAGATGTCAACCACTTTTTATGTCTTCTGATATGCTCATTTCAGCTCCAAACTATCATTTTTTCTTCCAATACACTCATTTCAACTACAAACTGCTTTTTACATCTTCCAATACGCTCATTACAACTCTGAACCACTTTTCTTGTATTCTGATATGCTAATTTTGACTTGAAAATTGTTCTTCATTACCTGTCAGACCATTTCGGAGTTGTAGACTCTGTATTTTCAGCGCCTACATATGCAAGACTGCATGACACCTCAATACACATGTAGGTGCTTTTATGAATGCCTATGGCTTGCCCGCCAGAACCAGTGGTTAAATGGTGTGTAAACTCAGTGTCAACTGGGTTTACACCGGTGCTGAGCCCTTGGTTGATACACGGTTTGGCATAGCGTTGTTGATCAACCATATCTTCTACGCCAAGGCATCTCGGTTGGTCAACCAAAAAAGATCCCTGGTTTATAAACCATTTTCAGGCCTTCACGCTACAAAAAATATAATGTCCATTAGATAGCGAGTGCATGTCTTTAGTCTTATGGATGTCATCTGGCCTGTTCCTTTCACGTACATGGTGTCTGTGACAGGAACCCTTATGCATTACTTTCTATTCTACCAGTATAAGTTAATACAAGATCTAAACACATGTTTTAAACCCTGAAGACCTATTACGTGGTGTGGGGGGGACCCTGTAGGGGGGGTGGTATGTAACGTACCCTACTGGATACTTACAATGGTACCCCCTCATGAGGTGAGAACAGGCTGTAAAAGAATATGGGTTTCTTGACCCCTCTCACTCACGGGAGGAGAGCCGTGAAGATCATGTATGGCTATGAACTGCTGGCAAGGTCTCTGTTTGGTACATGGATGGTGATTGGTACTACTTTACATGGCAATTTAGGTTATGTAGGTTGAGCCTCTTCGCGGTGATTGTGTTACGTCATAAAAGTAATTGTTACAAGGGTTTTGTCAGTGCGGAGGAGGTAAACAAAGTATGCATGCCACTAAACAGAGAATGCGCGGAAGCTAAAAAGGAGGGTAGGTCGTGCTTCTGTCGTGTCAAATGAGGCTCAGATATGTAGACTGGGTTGCTGGATAGTGTTTCACTGCGGAGCCGACGGAGTTTCAACCAGTAGCAGGATGGCGTGGGGGGGTCCGCTTCTTTGTTGCTCAACAACAATGACGTACTGCATTGATCCATGCGTTCATAAAATATTGTACGACCGGCTGTGTGGGGTCTGGACCCGCAGAGAGTTGTTGACGACGATGTGGCACGGAGCAGTGCTTAGAGAAGGAGTAGTAACCTACGGAAGCAAGAGTCAGTACGCATTTGGAAGATACAACAAAGTTTTTTGGTGTACATTATCATGTGCGTCGTGTGGCATAGTTGACAAAGTCAGTATTTCCTGAGTAGTGGTGTGGTTGATGGTGTTTTGGTTTGAAAAGATGCGGGTAGACAGAAAATGCTGGATCACGGTGTTCAAGGTGTAGGTAGTGTTGACGTTTATAACGGCGTCCACGACAGGCAATATTTCCATTGGCGTGGATATTTGATTGTAAGTACAAATGTATAGTAGGGTTGCATGTTGCCGCGGTGAATATGTACAACGCCGGGGCAGGGTTTAAGTCGCAGTCTACCATGGTGTTTGGCGATGGGTCGCGAACAGTTAGACGTTGATTGACGTGGCCTTGACAGTTGGAGACTCACGGGATGTATCTGGCAGATGTTGTAATTTGGGCGGCAACCAGGGGTGCTCAGGTCAGACTACAACGCCCCTGTACTGCTCTGACAAAATTTCAGCAGTGATAAATAAGCATCAGTGGAACGTGATCAGGGGAAATGGGAGTGTCTGCATTTTCCACTTCATCTTTTCAATATGTCGCATCCAACTCACAAAAGGTTACCGATGCGTCAGAGCGGTGTATTTCGCATGGCTAAGAGCAGCAGCACCAGACCTTGTAAAAACATGAATACAGGTCGTTTTACAAATCCGTGAGAGGAAACACAAGGCACCGGGCCTCGCAAACGGCCTGTATGATTTGCGTGTCATGTAAAAACTTACCTTCAATCATAACACTAAAGGCACAACCCAGTTTCTCGGCGAAACTGGATTAAACCCCTAAGCCCTTAATAAGCTGTACACCTAAGACTCTGACCTCCTTAGGCTCAGTTGTTCCCGACCCCACCTCTCTTCATGGCCTGTCAAACCACTGTGAGTTACAGATGATCTCTATTTCTTCCAGTTCCATAACAAACTAACTTGTTTCTCTCATCTTTCCTGTTCATCAACAATATCACAGTATGGTAAAACAGAAAACAACAAAGAATCCAACTTCCACTTCAAATTCACAACAATCAAAATGGTACGTTTTCAATTTCTCATTTTCATAATCAACAGAATGAACCTATCAAAAAGAGAAAACTAACAATGACCTTTCCTTTGAAAGCTAATTTACCAAATCAAACCCAATCAAGTACCAGAAGACATTCATAACAAGTTAAAAAGCCAATTCAAAGTCAACCAGAATTGAGTCTAAATTCAGATCAAGAAGAACAAGAAAACATACCTTCTTCACCTTCATCGGATCATTATTGAAAGAAATCTAAAGAATTAATTAGATCTAAAAAACCAATTCGAACGCGTAAAACTTCAATTGAAAAACCTAGAACTAAATCAACAACTAATCAAAACCTGAAACAACAATAAGCTCAAGAGATTGATCATGATCATGATGAAGGTGTAAGAAGTGTTACAGAATCAGCAAATCAAGTTAAAACAGATTATATCATATTCAATCTCTTTACATACTTTCTTATCAAAAACCGATTATCTTTCAACTTCATATGATTCACCTGCTTTTCCTCCTAATTTTCAAAACTCATCATCATGTCCAACTACTTCAACTCAAATGTTAAATACTCTATAGTTTTGCTTTAGAACCTAAATGGGCTACTCATTTCTTTCCTGAAGATGCTTTTGATCAAATTGATGAACTTCATTTACCTAATGGTGATCCTAACCCAATCACTACTTTACCTAGAGTCGGTTGGATAGAAGCCCCAAAGACATGACACCTCCTAATTCAGTTGATAACATTCATAGTGAATTGAGTAGACTTGTAGAAAACGCTTACCTTGAGATGCCTCGAAAATCTTTCTCATCTTCAGACAACTCGATGGATATTGATACTCAGTACTCTCATCATCATAATCCTTATCATTTACAGAACGATCCTCAGGCTGAAGATCCAAGACTTTCAACACCTACCAATCAGTCTACTGCACTTTGGGATAATAAAGGTCTACAGAAGGGAAAAGGTAAGAGTATTGTTGCCTCTACCTCAACTACACACCTTTGGCTCCCCCTCCTACACCTGCTAATTTTGGAATCGTTGGAAAAGTAGGTCAATTTGAAGTCTTATGTGGGCCTGGCGAGGGAACTGGCAAGGCTTGGTCAAAGTGGCGAAATCATGATGAACGACTCCCTGAAGAAAAAACTAAAGGAATGGGTCCTTAGGGTCTTGTCTTGTGGAATGATGAGAACATAGTTATGCCCAAGTCATTGATCAAGTTTCTATGGCTACCGGTTGTTCTCAAGAGAAGCTTTGGAAAAACGAATCGAGTGGACAGTAAAGTTGGTACCCCTCTTACTCTCAATGTATTAGTTACTTGATAAGCGTACAAATTTGATTTATCCATTCAATTTTCATTTACAAGATTTTTATTAGATGATATCAAACCTTGGAAAGATGCTCGAGATCGATTGAAAAGCCTTTATATCTCGCTCTTGGCTTTGGGACAACCTACCAAATTACAACTCGGCATTTTGTTCACTTCAGTCTTTCCTCAATTGATTGATTACAACTTGTTGGTTGATTGTGAACCTGAGCACAATATCTTACTCTTCAGTCTACAAATTGCTACAGTTCCCAGTGTAGTGTTTGTTTTGGTCAACAATCATGAATTCTTGCAGATGATCCTCGATTTACTCTATTCTTTCTTTACTCATCAATTTGCACCTTCAAATTTGATACATGGTGATTTCAGATATATCATCTATCCTCCTGACCTTTGAAAGAAAACGATCGATCCTAAAGGGATGAGTTTTCGGTGCAAACAATCATCATATCATAGCGTCATCATCATATCATACAAGTTAAGACCAAACCCAGTTCGCCCAAGACTGGACAAAATTTGGGCAAAACTCGGTTTAAACCCTTTTTTTCACCCTTGCCCCCCTTGGCCTGTGGGTCAATCCTGTCTCACAATTCCTTCTCACCTGATTTCCGTCTCGCCTGATCAAATCTGTTTCTCCATTGCCAAACAAATCAAAACTCATCTAGATGAAGATCTACCTGGTCCAATCCTTTCTAGACCTCTAGGACTTTGGAGATTATGTAATCCACCTTCCCAACCCTTGATCCCAACTCTTGACCTCCAAGATTTCTCAAGCCCCAATTAAACCTGAATCAGATCAAATCAATCCAAATGAAGCTCTCTTAACTGATACAGAAAACTATTCAGTCATTGAACCACAAAAAGATGATGGTATTTGGTTATACATCACGTCTGATGAATCTTCAACTAATCAGGGAGTTTCAGATGCACAAACCGCGGTTTCAGTAATCGGTGGCAAGCCTTGGTTAGATCAAATGGATTGAATGACTTATATCAACAAACTGATCCTGAATATTAAGAATGTCCAATCACCACTCTTCAATCTCCAGTAACCGATGCTTTGGCTCAGAAGGCTTCCAGTAGTACCGGTGTCGGTTTCATCTCTTGATTGAAAAGAGTTACTGGATCAGTTGGTACTAATGATCAAAACCACGTTTTCAAACCAGGTATTGTTTGAGGTTTGGTAGGACTCAGTGTTATAAGTAATGCACGCTGTAAGTCTTGATACTTTGTTCTTCCCTACCTTCCTATTGCATTTACTCATCTATTTGCTTATGGTATTATGAACTTCAGCACCTGATTCATCTATTAGGGCGGTTCAAGATGGCCTTTTACAGCCGGAATTTAAATTATAAGTTTGGTTCGGGACCTGTAAATTTTAAGTAAATTTTAAAGTTCGTGAACCACCTCTAAAGGTGGTTCACGGTTTTGCAAACACCGATCTAATTTTAAATCTTAAATTTCCACTTCCTGATATCAAGCGCAAATCAGGAACCATGCTCGAAAAAAAGTTTACTTCCACATTTTTTTTTTGTATGTTCCTGAACGTTGAACCTTCATTCTTTGAAAAAAAACTTTTTTTTCTTCGCGATCACTTGCCTCTTTCATTACCAAAGTTAAGTTGGTCATTCACGGTTTTTCACCCAAGCGGAGCAGCTGGGTTTCAGGGTTAGTCATCTGCCTTTTTCGGTCGTTCAACTCCTTCCGCTTTGGTTGGACACTCTTGATGACTCTCGATGATTTTGATATACATATAAGCCCGATATCATAGCTTTCCCCATCAGCCTCAGTTCATTTTTCCGCGTACTTCATCTCTTTTGTGCTTGATTCCTGTTTGCTTCCCGTTTTCTTTCATTTTATTTCTCAAACAACTACTCTCTTCTATATCTTTTGGTTTTTGATTATCGGGGTTAGGTCATTGAGGTCCCAATTGGAGATGCCTGCAAAAACTCAGCCAACCGGCAAGGTTAGTCTTCTAGTAACCTCACTTTCTACTTTTTCCTATGGACACTGAACTGACCCACCTTTATTTCGTATTTTAAAGGCACCCAGGGCTCGTCGCACCAGGGCTCAAATCGAAGCCGACTTGCTCGCGTCTGGCCTACCTGTGGCGTCAAAATCTACCCCAGCCACTATCAAACGATCTCGACTCGCTGCCGAAGCACGTGCGAAAGGGGCCTCGGTGTCCCAATCAGTCAAAACGAAAGACAGCCCGACCTTTGATCGGATCGACTATCAAACCATCATCACATACATATCCAAACCAAGTATTCAAAACGCTTTGTTTGGTGGTGGTAGTCAAACTCGGGTGACTGGTATGCCTATGAATCCTAAATCGCTGTTAAATCCCCTCGCCGTGGAGATCAACAATGACTACAACATAAGACACAACACTACAGCGATGCGACTGAATGGCCGAGTCCTTTATTTACGTCTGAAGCGTTATAAGTCAAAGTATAACGCAGCCAAAAATTTCAGCCTGAAAACCGGAAGTGGCCTCTCGGCCAAAAACGTCGCTGATGGAATACACACCATGGAAGATCTTCTCGAGTCGATGTGCCCGTTTTACAAGGATATGGACGCCTTGTTCCGTGACAAAGGCAATGTGACGCCCTTTGGGATTCTCGACAGTGGGGTTGGCCCTGTGGATGACTCTGATGATCCTAGTGAGAACAAACGAGATGAGCCCAGCGTTGAAGAGGAGGAGGAGGATGGCGAGGGTGACACAACCAATGGCCACGATCATTGTAAGTTTGACCTGGTTCTTTTTCAAGCTGCTCCTCAAATTGACAAATGACACTTTCCTTTTCAGCGCGCGATTTGCCCAAAGGAAACCTCTCGATGACCAATAACGGCGTCGGCATGGGCAGTCCTGAACCCGAAGAGTTAGAACACTACACAGACTTCTTCAACGCTCAGGTCGAACCCAATAACCGCGATGTCATTGATACCTTGGACACGGCCTTCAGTTCTCCTCCACCTACCCCTGGTGTGCCTACCAGAGAGACGCCGATTAACCGCCTACTTCGTGCTGAGGCGCGACCCGCGGCTGTGGCCATTCCGATTGAGGAAGATCATCACATAGTTTCAGCGGCTGATCAGAAAGTGCCTTCCAAGAACTCCGCCCGTACAACTCATAAACCAAAATCAGCTAAGAGATCATCCAAATACGCTCTTACCGCCGAAGAACGCGCGTTGGATACCTCGGAGGATGACGCAACTACGACTACTGCTAGCCTTACCACGGAAAAAGCCACCAAGCGAAGCGCGCCGCCTCGTTCAACTCTATCTCGACGTGATCTGGACCCTCTCCCCTCAATCGACCCTTCCCAGGTTCACAGCAAGGAGAATAAGCACGCTCTTGCTTCTGTGATCCAACAAGGGAATGAAGCCCGACTTTTGATGATCACCAAGGCGAACGAGTTACGTCAACACCTGGAATCAACACATTTGCAGGCAGAATTGGACGCTCGCACCTCCGATCTCTCTTGGGCGAAGGAAAAGTACTTCCTGGACCGTTGTAGAACTTATAACCCAACAAGGGTTATACAGAGCTGGAAGAGGATAATCTACTAATAAAATGACTAGTAGAAGTTGTCTAAGGACTGCTCTTCTAAAACAACACAATCAGAAAGAGCTCTGTTGTATTGAGTACTGATAAGGCACCAGAGAAATATAACTTCACACGTAATTTTAACTTCAAAAGCACACTTTGTATTACTATCAACACTGCTATAGTGTTATTCCCAATTGATAACTGAAAAAAAAATAAGCAATATCTGATTGATATTATTCCCAATAAGTCTTTATGACTATAAAACTAAAGTAAATTTCTCTTTATAACTGTAATAAAGGGCGTATTTAAGTGAACAGGTACTATTAAAATAAGTTTATGATGATAAACAAAATAATAATGGCGTAAATGATAAAGAAAAAAAAGGGGAACAACAGTCCCAAAACCCTCTCAAAGTATATATAACAATGTACTAGAACTTTTACAATGGTCAACAGCCTCAAAACCAATCAAATCCGCCCAAAATTCCCTAAAAACCCTATGATGACGCAATGTAACGGTTTTGTTACTAATAAATGATGTAATTTTCACAGCTAAAAGTGATCAATGACGCAATAATATGATGTACAGCACTTCTTATGATGAATACAGGTGATTTTTTCCTTGTAAACTAGCTGAAAACCAATTTTTGAGATTACGAATTTTTTCAGATGTGCTCCAATTTTTGATTACTAAAGTGCATCTTGTAGCCCACGTGTTACTGATCATTTCTGACACCTACATGACCTACTTCTGATGAGTGATGAGTAAGATATTGAGTTGTGAAGTTAAGGTTTTTAGTGTTACATATGACTTGTGACTGTAAATTCGAGATTCACACCAATTCTTTATTTGCCTTATAACTTTTTACACACACCTCCGTTACTAATGATTTAAAGTTTGTACATTATGTAATCCACTCTTCTGCGTTGAATGAGCCATCTACCAACCTATTCCGACGTCATTTGACATATGTAATTAGCTGAAAACCTCCATTTTCCACGAATTTCACCCATTTTCTTCACTTTTCACAGCTACTACTATCTTTTTCTTGCTCATGTAATATGAAATCATCATCTATAGCCTTAAAAATCCCGGAAAATCCTCTTGGCAACCTTAAATTCCATCACTACCACTATTACACAACCAAACTACACGTGTACCTCTTGTTTACCAACTTCGAAAAAGTGCTTTTTTCCTAATAACTTCTGTTTCTACTTATCAACCTTGAAGATTAAAATTGTCATAGTATCATATAATGTTGTTCTTTCATATTCTAACCTCATAATACCCATAACTTTATTTTTACTAACCTAAAAACCATTTTCCAACCTTTATACCTATAATTTCGAATTTTTCTTATGTTTTTCTTTCTTTCTTTTTGTAATAAATTTGTAAGTAAACTATAATGATCTTAATATATAATGTGAAATAAAATGATGTAATGTTGACCTAATGACCAATACATAAGCCTACAAGAGCTTCAATTGATCAAAAACCTCCATTTCGAATTTTCTTTCCTGCTGAATCCTGCTAATAAACTGGTAAACTGGTAATTGTGAATTTTTTAATTGATCCCATAAATTGATCACCACATCCTCCTCTTATTCCAAACTGCCCCCAGTTTATCAATTAAACAATTCAATTAAACACTCCAAATCACTAAATTCTCAAATTTTCCTTTATTTCCAATATGGTCAACACTGTTCACCTTCTGTAGCTTCACCTTGTGTCCAATGCCGGATGGTAAACTCCTCCTGCCACTATCAAATCAATCCTGCTTGCCAAAGATGCCATAGTCTAGGAATAATATGCTGTAAGTCCAATTTCTTTCTTCTATTTCT